AAAAATTCTGAAGCTATAGGAGAGCAGGTAAAGCACACCCCTGCCAAAAAAGAGATATCATTAAAATAAACATTAAGACCTAGAGTATGAAAATATGAAGCATGAAAATCATATGGAGAAGAAATAAAATTAGAAAGGTAAAAAGATAGTTTAAAAGGCTGAAGGTTTCTATAATAGAAAAAAGAAATGTAAATCTCAGATTAAAATCTAATGTTAAAACTACCTAAAAGGTAGGCTCAGCATTTCCAATAACAGATTCTTGGATCAACAACACACTTCATGATGGAGAACCAATGGACACAGGAAAATGTACAGTGTTATTCTCATCAGTGAAGAGTTGACTCAGAAGCTATTTACCTTTAATTTTCAAACAGCATTAAAAATTTGCTATTTGGTTCCAAGTTCAAAGCAATTTGATCGCATGTATAATAAGGTCTTTGGACAGAAGAGTGAAAAAGTCAGAATAATAATCTAAAGTCTTATAGTTATAGATGAACAAAAAGTTATAAAAATAACACTGGTGTTTAGCAGTATGCAGCTACCTGTACAGGGGACTATCAGCATTACACATGTTAATAGATTACAGGTAAATTACATTATTTAGGTAATTATAGTATTGAAAATCCATTGTTTTAACTGAGTTATAGATATATTCTGTCTTGTAAAGAAAATAAGGAAGCATGAAATTGGTTTTGGAAATAATTTTATCAAAAATAAAAGGCTTTTTTCTTGTCTGGATTCCTCTACTTGCCCTCACAATTAAGCTCTTCAAGAACAACAAAAAATAAACAAACAACAACTACAAAAAAACTAAAGAAGTTTTTTAGAAGTCACTGACTTCTAAAACACTGACATTTATTTATTTACTTATTGTCATTATGTACTGCCATGGAGAAGAGAATTTTAGAGCTTTAGAGCTTTGAGAGATGAATATGAAACAGCAGCAAGAACTTACCTGTTTGACTCTGGTTTTCTTAACTGATCTCCACATTGTGATTATAAAATTACCTGCCCCTTATCCATTTACTTGTTAAAAACTTTTCTTTTTAATAGGTATTTCACTGCCTCTTTCACATCCTTGTTCCTAAGACTATAGATTAAAGGATTCATCATGGGA